AGTGTAACATTTGCCCCCCGTCGTCACGACATGTTCCTTAACGCCACGGTTTTCACGTGTCGTCTAATTAATATTCCGCCTATCTATTCTCATAATTCGACCAGGATCGTACACCGCAGGTGTGACATAACGACTTTGGAAAAAGAAACGGAACCGATTACTTAAACTCAAACTTCAAAAGATGGTCGCGCAAAAGTATGTCGCAATCGTGTGGTGGAGATTCAAAGCACCACTATGCTTGAGTATGTTTCCGCAGATCGAGCACAAAATTATTTTATAATTTTTTACGTTATATCGCTGCTAACGAAGTTTTTACGTTATGTCATAATGACAATTTTATAAAAAAAAAAATGTGTTACATAATGGCAATTTCGATTACAAAAGTTTTTGATAAGAGACGAAAGATTTTATTTTATGCATATTTTTATTTCGGAAACAAGATATCTGACTAAATCAGAAAACATTAAAAAAAAATTATGCAAAACACACACTCTTTATAAACACAATGACAGATATTCCAAAAAAGTGTAAGACAAAAATGAACTTTGACTGAGTAGTTAATGATCTCTAACGCATCTATCAATCGTTTCATTATAAATCGCATATTATCGCGATCGCAGTGTCTTTTTCGGAGAAGTATAAATAAAATAATATTCCCTCTCGCGACAAACGACTTAAATGCGTTAAAACGCATCACGAAAGAGCAACGCGATAAACGAGAACCAGTTTCTCTGTTTCCCGGCAAATGACAGTGACACGGTTTTCAGGACAGGTGAGCTCTTGGAGCCCGAAGAACGAAGGAGACACGCGTGCGTAGGATGTGAGGACGCCTTCGTGGCGAGAATGGAATAAGTGAAGGGCTCACGAGATTCCCATAATCTCATTTTTTTTCTTCCGCGGCATTCTCATGAGCCTACTTATCGTCGCGGCGGTGCTTCTGATCTATAAATTCCGTGATCTTATTCCGTTCCTCTTCCATTCTCCGCCTCTCGCCCTCTTTTTCCTCTGTCTCCCCTATATATTCCATTACCCGCCTCACCCTCGTTCGTATGCTCTAACCCTCGACGCGATTCTATGAGAGGCCGTGTGACGCTGCGATGACAGGCTCACAATGAAGCCTATACAGAAAACAGCCGGTTTTTTTCATACACGGACGTATGTCATAATGCGGTGATCCGGGTCGCCATCCATATACACGGGGGCAGTATTTATATCTACGTAAAGATGTATATAATATATATGTACACGCGGCCGTAACGTATCGGGATTCGGGACCGACCTCACCTGGCACTTCATATGTTTCTGCGCGAGAAACATACATATTCTCGTGTAGATTCAAACGGATTCCGCTAGAACCATGATGCCTCTTTTAAAAGAAACGCGAGCTAACGAAATCCGAGCATCGACTTTCGCTTTTCCGGAACAACGAACCGTGTGTTGTATGAGAGCCCTTTTTCGCTTTCTGTTCCAGCAAGCTGCTGCGGTGTCGGCGTGGAAGATTCGAGCGTACCCGATGTCGGCGGACCCGCAGGGTCGGGTGGTACCGGCGGCGGGGTGGCCGTCATACCCGATCGGCCACCTCTCGAATTAGACAAATTACCGCCTTATCACGACGTAGCGCCTAGCCCCGGTGAGTGTTGCATCCCGTGAAACGCTTGCTTATTCTGACGCTTGCTTGTCCCGACACTTGCTTCTTATGCATATGCGTATACGGGCTGTCGGGAAGAGATCGCTGAGAAATGACTGCTCGTTACTCGTGTGTTCCTAACACATTACAACGTGTTGTTATGATCGCGTACGCGGTAGCATGTCCTCGTTGACTGTACGTCTCATTTCTCTCGTTGAAGAAAATCGAGCGCTTACAGAACCGGATCTCGCAACTTGTTCTTGTCGGCGTTTTCAACTAGTCGATAGCTCCGCAAGATCTTTCACGATGTTACGAAACGAGCTTGTACAATCTTGCGATAAGATAATGCTAAGAGAAATATCGTACACATGGAGAACTTTGGAAGAAAATGAAAGTAGAAATGACTCCGATATATACTTCTAATAGTTACATTTAACTAAAATACTTTCAGCGGGAATATAAATTTATGAATATATGAATTATGAATATAGAATACGAATAATTGAAAAAAGTTAATTCAATTAATTAATAAAATAAAACAGTTTACAAAAGGCAGAGCTTAAGTCCTTTTTATCTATTTTCAAAGCGTTTTTCTTTCATTATTTGCATATTGTCTACTTATATAAAAAAAATGTATTAATTATCATGAGTCAGAAATTGTTAATGAAATCGAACTTTAGGACACAACGTATGGTCATGGTTGGGCTCTAGACGAGGCGGCGGTACGAAAATGAAAGTAGAAATGACTCCGATATATACTTCTAATAGTTACATTTAACTAAAATACTTTCAGCGGGAATATAAATTTATGAATATATGAATTATTAATATAGAATACGAATAATTGAAAAAAGTTAATTCAATTAATTAATAAAATAAAACAGTTTACAAAAGGCAGAGCTTAGATAGAAATTATTAATGAAATCGAACTTTAGGACACAACGTATGGTCATGGTTGGGCTCTAGACGAGGCGGCGGTACCCCGGGGGTCGTCACGACCCCTCTCTCTCTCCCTCAGCATCGACGGGCGATGAATCTCCCGGTCGAGAATCACTACACCCACATGCAGACCGACGAGGCTCTGTACGCGGAACTGGACTCGCAAGCCGCGAGCTACGCAAGCGATCTACAGTTACAAATGAGAGGAAGCTCAACGTACGGTACGACTTCCGGCGGCCAGGACGACGAATATCACGAACTGGACGCGGCCAGATTACATCGTCATTACGGAGGCAGCGACGGATCGCTACAAACTGATACACTTCGCACTCGGCACAGTAAAAGGTAAGTAGTACGATTCAATTTTATGAGAGCTATTCTTCTCTCGAGAGTTAATACAAAAATTATTGTTTTAGAGACATTATATTGTTTTTCATTGCTCTAGATATATTTACATTAACAATTTGATAATCATCGCAAAATCCAATTGCTGGTAGTGAAAATATCGAAATGTTTGCTATTCATTAATTATTCTCGAGTCAATTATCAAAATTGTAACGACCGTAAAAATAATGACTACTTTGGGCGATAATGATACGTAACAATAATCTATCGTCTCCTGACTTCCTAGATCGATAACGAGTTCAATGTTTTATTCTGGCAACGCCTTTTAAAAGCAGCTAATTACGCGTTGTAACAACGCGCACATCCAACACGCGTCGCCGCGTAATCGGCAGTTATCGATACGGTCGATGCATTTGTTAATGGCACATTCCGGTCGAATGGCCGGTTATTGAGAGCCTCGTTATCGGCTACTTCCAGGATACAAGAGCCGGACTATGAGATGTACGAGAACGGGCCGTCGACGCCGGTGCCGCCGGGTCAGCATCAGCACCATCATCATCATCACCATCATCACAACCATCATCATCATCATCAGGAATTGAGGATCGGTAGCAGGAACAGCGAGCATCCTTCGTATCAAAATACGGCGTATACCGGAAGCGACGCTGAACCGGATGGACCGACGTTGAGCAGCGCTCCCAGCAGTGCCTACTATAGCGATCTCAGCTCAAACTCGGTAAATCAACAGATGCCGGCTACTGCAGTATCGTCCGCGACGACGACGACGACGACGACGAACCTACACCTGAATCCGCAAAACCTGGACGCGCCGCAATATAGACTCGCGGCGATCAACGAGAACACAGTGCCTTCGGATTATATTTAAGAAATGTTTCTTTCGAAACGCGGATGACGAGATGAAGTTTAAAATAGACAATTTCACCCATGTGCGTTTATCCTGCGTGTGAGAGAAGAACTTTTGCGTAATATTTATAATTTAACTTTATCCACAACAAGGATAATAGAAGTTGTATTCTTGTACTAAAAAATAGAAATAAAACGAGCGGATCACAGAAGAGATAAAAAGACTGTGAAATTTTTTGTCACTGTCGTCGTGACTCGAAAGTTTTTTTTTCAAGACAATGTTTCACGGTGCTCAGTTTTCAGCTTTGTTCGTACAAGAAGAATTAAAAGGATCGGGTAAGCGTCCGGCAAGAGCGTTATTTAACCGGCGGATGTATCGGGGACCGGTTCCGGATGAAATCGATTTCTTACTCGGCAACGTTCCATTTGCTCCTTTGTCGCCACACTTTGCGGTCCTGTTAAGACAATCGACACGCGAATCGACGAATCAAGCGTCGCGAATCGATCAGCAGCGCGGCGCGTTCTCCCCTACTTTTGCACGTTGATAAAATACTAGGTATTCAATGTCCCGATACTTTTTTAAACGAAAGACAAGCGGAAGATAAACCGGTTGGCAGGTAAGTGACCAGAGCAAATCGTGCCAGCGGAATTAATACACGATTAAGCGCTATATCCTTCGCGATATCGACAAAATCTGTAGTTTTGACAAGAATGTTCACCGTTAGCTGTTAACCGCGACTGAGCACGAGATTGCGCTTGTTAGAACAATGATGAATTTATGTTCACGTTCGATGCATCGTAACTGCATCGCAGCACGCGAATATTTCGAGTAACTGATGCCGGTTCAGGCGTGACGCTTGGTGCACGTGACGCAAAAACGTAATGATACCGTGTGCACCAAGAATCATGCGTTGCGGTTTCCAATCAGCAATAACATGTCAGATATAAATTGACACTGCCCAGACATTTCTGCGAAATTCAACTAATATCTGGGGAAAGAAATGGACCCCCATTATTTCTGCTATCGTTCATATCATTCAAAAGGGAAAAGCAAAATTTCAGATATATATTATGTGAATGATTGGCATATAAAACACCATTTTTGTTTAAATTACTCTTCTAATGCAATAAGATTGCATCTAGCGCGGATAATTTTGCATTAAATTGAACAAAATCTGTACGAGAAATGAAAATCATAATTAGAAATAAAGCTAAAAATTAGGAAATTGTGACAAGCAATGATTTTTGAAATTTGGCTAAGAAATAAATTCAAATAAAAAAGAGAATCTTTCATTAATAAATAATGATAAAAGGAAAGCAGCTTGTTATATACATATATTAGTCTCGTTTGTATTGTCATCTATATCTTATTCTAATCTTTAACCGTTATATGAAGTCGACTTGGACGCATCTGACGAGATTCCATCGCATCAGAGGATTAATCTCGGATATAATCACGCGGGATTCTCGAATCAACTATGGATGTTACCGAGAAGAGGAGCCGCAGAATCGAAATGCCTACACGATACGAATGAAATAAAGTCGTTTTGAAAAGCAGGTGCTTTGTAATTTGACGTTCGGTGCTCCCAGTCAGCGCCCTCGGCTACATCCGTCCGCCTTCTCTAAGCGGCGATACTCTCTAACATATTTACTTCCATATTTACCGCGCAAATGAGGTCTCGTTTTCACGTGCGTGCCTCGATTACGGAAAATTGCAGAATTCCGTGCCGTATAATCGACGGGCTATATGATGTTCAACGAAGTACAAATACAAATGTATTACTTTCACACGAAACGTCTTTTTGTAGATATTTTATTGATTATGTATATATATTTTCCGTTTCTTATTCTCTGTATGGAATACATATATATTATATAAGATAGCGCGCGTAATCTCAGATGGTATTGTTAATGGTTAGAAGATCGCGTGCTAACAATAAGTCCGGAATATTCTTTACAACAAAGTTGACTTTATTGTCTGATTCTTCGAATCTCGATTCTCCTAATTTCATTTTAAACTATCCACATATAGAACAATCTGCTTCTCTTTCAGTAAAGTACGGAAAAGACGTATTACAGAATATTATGAAAATTTAATGCTTATAATCACAAATTATCTTCACGACCTTGGCGTATAATATGATAATAAATCGTGGGAAATATTTCAAATTGAATACGAATGATCGCGTATGCGAAATATATAATTAAAAAATCGCGTCGAATCGGATTCGCAAGGATTATCACGCGAAGAATTATCACTCGAGCACTAAATAGGTTTCGATCTTAGCGGCGTATCAGGTTCAATCGTTTATCTTCGATTTCCGATCGACAGCGGAATTAATTCGTCTCGCTCAATTCGGCGAGGAATCGTTTAATCGTTGCCGTCGTGTTCTCTTAATTACCTTCTCAGACGAAGCCGATTGTTCCCTCGCCGAGACACGAATCCGAGAAAACGCGTTCTCTCGCTTCGCCTCGGGATTCTCCCGCGTGCGCGTTTCACGTCTTTCACCTTTAACTCACCTGTGCGCTCACGCACGCACACCTACATCCGACCAAGGGGGGGGGGGGGGGGGGGGATATACGAGAACGCTCACCTAACGTACACATCTCGCTATATATGTATATGTATGTGAAAATAGTTTTAGAACCACTTGATTCTTCGAATTTCTACTTAGTGCACGCTTAACTGAAATGTGAATGATGAAATGTCTATTATATATATTACTGAATATATTTTTGCAATTTTCATAAAAAAAGTGAAACCTATTAACTAACTGACAAATATCTAAATTATAGCACATGTAAAACTTATTTATTGGAAAAGATGATTATTTCATTGATTTATATAACAAGAGAGAATAGCATACTCTTTAAATGTACTTCAATACTTTTCGTATGTTTTGGAAAAATTCTCGGATTATTAATATCTATCAAGAATCTTTTTTAATTCATTAATACACTATGTAATTCATTATTTTTGATAAATTAAAGAAAAATGAAATAAATAAGTTGAAAATAACGGTAATTTTCAGAATGGTCAAAACGCACTAAGACGCATAACTCCGAGCTGTACGCAATATGTAGCGCGTGCGTACAAATAATACAGGCATAACACATAGTGCACTCTCTCTACGGATATGCTATAATTAATTGCGCCCTCACGGGCACAATGGTGGTAGGAGAGAACCGCTCGCTTCTCCTGGTGCAAGTATTATACCGCCGAAAAAAATCCCACGACCGCGCCAAGCCATCGTGGCCGGATGGGTATCCCTTATCACGGTCGTGTGTGTGTTACGCGAACGGGAACGTATATTATGAAAGAAAAAAAATCACTTAATTAAAGTTCGTCTCATTTTCCTTTACGTGTCTTCCGCGTTTGCGTCGCGCGCCGATACTTCTAGCCGACTCGCATGTCTACAGGTAATTTAGAGTTATAATTTGAAAGGACGTTACTTGCATGTGTAATTTGCGTCTGGGTAGATTAGCTCGATCGCGTCACTATTTATCACGGAAAATATCATAACGACGTTACGCTTCATTGCGATGAAATAGATGCCTCAATGCAAAGTTTACAGACCGCATTAGTATAAGCATTAGTCTAACTCTCGTAATGCGGAAATGTCTAATTTCGCATACACATATACACGGGAGAACTATTTATAATTCAGTCTTTAAATCATGAATAAACGAAAAAAACATTTAAAATGTTTTAAATTATCAAATTTAAATTATTTCCATAGTTTTGCTATCTATTTCTATTTTAGACAATCATGCTAAGACTCCGTTTAATCCTTTAATTTTTTATGCATTTTCTCTCATGTAATAGCCATTAAAATGTAAACAATTTCATGAAACAACAGATGCAAAGAAACTTTTTTATCTTACAAGTGACTAAACAGCGAAGTAAAAAATATACAAATTAAAGAAAAAGGATTTAAAAAGTAGTTATTAATTTCTTTACTATTGCATGGCATAATTAAGAGTTAAATGCCTAATTATCAAAGCTGTGTCATGAATAAAAATCAAGTTTTATTGTATCTAATACAAAAGCTAAAAATACAAATAATGGTTGTGTCTTGTATAACTACCTTAACTCTGCTTGCCATTTAATTTATAAGAGAAACGCGTTTCATCCGAAAAATGCAATTTTCGAGATCCTCGACTATCAATCAATATCGTTGATCGTGAGAATTCACGTGATTAAATTCCCGCGAATATTTTTTTGAGCCGAAGACTTCCCTTTATAATGTTTTCTCTTACCACGACGGCTTTTGCAGGTTTCGACGGACGTTTTAGAATGATCGTAAGGACTCTCGGCCCGCCCTAGCCGAACGCACCGCGTGTTCGTTCAGACTACGGGATATATAAATTATACATGTAAATATACGGGCGGCCGGCTCGAGAGATCGAACTGCGAGATATCAAGATATGTGTTGGCGATTCCCGCACCTTTCCCTCCCTTTGTTGAATCCTCCTAGCCTCTCGAACTCGGGCTCGCGTATACGCACGTAGGTAAGAATTCACGTATTACGTGACAAATGTCGCCGTAATTTTCATATATCGCAAGACTTTGGAAATTGTCTGCGTTCCATTCGCGATAGAAACATTGATTTCAGTTACAAAATAATTAGTTTTCTTTTTTATATACATTTTTAACTGATGTTTTAATTTGAAAAAATAGATACTTAATTAAATTTAAAAATTTATTAACAATATATATATACATATATGAAATATATATATTTCAAATTAAAAACATCAAAGTTAAGAACATACATAAAAGAGAAAACTAATTTTATTCTTCTGCTAGCATTCATTTTGATAGATTTTTATTTCTAATGTGATAATTTTTTAAATATTTTTCAATTTTCCATTTTGATAGATAGAAAAGTAAAATCACTTTGGTGTTAAGTTCAGATGAATATAATAATTTCAGTATCATAAGAACAAATAATTCTTAACGCAAGTAGCAACTAAATTTAATATGTGTATGATTAATTAACATTGATTTAATAGTTCTACTGAAAATAATGTATATTGTATGTGAGTATCATACTATCTTGCGTTACGATTTATTAATAATTGCACATATCCTCCAACTGTTCCTCAATTTATTTAGGACCTAATGCATTTAATCACACGTCTATGGTTTTATAAACGATCTGAATCAGAGCGCGAGTATTAGAAAATATATATTCGCTATTCTTGCCTCTTTGACATTATAATCTGAATTCGGCAAATATAGTTAATTTTGTGAATAGATATTAGTTATTATCTACAAATTAAATAAACTAAAAATCTTTTAATATTATTTAAGATAATGGAATATTAATAGAATATTCTCAATACATTTGCATTTTATATCATCAAAAAACGAAAGAAACTTCTTCCAATGTTTATGAAAAGATAGAATTTTATATATATATATAATTTTGCGAAACCTGATTATAGTCCTGATTATAGTCCAAGCGCTATGTAAAAAAAATTTTTGTGAACTTTACTCACATATTTAATCATAATACGATCTATAAATATATTGCAAGCATCTTTATGTTGACATCAGCTCATGTAATCTAATTGCGCTAATTTTATAATTATTTCCCGGCGAGATCTTTTAAAGATCACAATAAAGCATTGTACTGCGATATTGTCGATCTTGGCCGCGATTCATTGTTCGGTGTTGATGATTATTAGTTACCGCTAATAATTCATTTGCATATGCATGTATTACATTATATTATATGAGTGCCTTATGTTGCAACAAAGATTATGTACATATACTAGTTATACTTGAAACACAGTCAATGTCAACATATCGAGCAAGGTATTGTATGTTTCACATTATGATTATGTGAGAGTTAACGTGTGAATTCATGCGAAGAAAACCGTTTTATTTACTCGACTTAACTAACTCGACTCAACTAGCAAAATTGCAACAAATTCCAATGTTAGCGTAATGTAAATGCATATCTTATGTTAAATATTTCTACAGTTCTTGTATATTTTATTAAATTTATGTATATTATATACGTATAATGAGTCCATATATATTGTAAATTAAATACGAGACTTTTTCCGCTGTACTTATTTCCGCGAACATTCGATTGTATTAATGTATACAGTAGTTTAATAAATATTGGCCGTATTGAGATGTATATTGCATAAAAACAAT